TGGCAAACCTGTTATGGTGAGTCGGAAAGCATGAGCAGGAAACCCCTGAACGACAATTCACTTCAAGAAAGAAGCACTTCTTTATTGAAAAGCCAAAGGGTTGACATTTTTTTCCGTTCAAAATTACTTTATTGAAATATTTTGCAAAAAAAACTTTCTTGCAAAAACATAGAAATTTTAAGTCTATTTTGTTCAATTGAAAGAAATGAATAAAGAGCTTCTAAGTGAAAAATATACAATTTATGTTTGTATTAGATGAAATCGAGCATTTCTGGTCGCTGGTTGTTTCAATTGCATCGTTACCAAATTTAGGCTGATTAATTGCATCATGTTGAGTCTGCAGTCCATTTCTCATCGGTTGTTTTCGACATAACACCAATACCAAAGCAATTATTAGTACAGCACAGGGGACAGAATACAACACTACATTTGATGATTTGTCATTATCTGGAATGATTCAATGTTGCAATGTAGAGCTTATTGTCTGTCGTTGTTTGGTTGACTTTATTGACACTCACATCCTTTGTATTTTCCCAACCTGTGCTCCTCTGCCATAAGAACCAATGTATTTGACGTGACAGTGAGTACCGGTGGCGCCTAAATAGAGTCTGCGGCAAGTTTAGGAACTATCAATACTTCTTGTTGTTGCGAAATTCATGACAACAACAACAAGTATTGATAGTTCTTAAAAATGCCGCAAATTGCTAATACATCTTATTTAGGCGACACCACTATCTTGCGCCAGCCAAAAGTATAGGTTGCATTTTCCACAGTTCCTTCTGTCATTTCAGAAAATAATCCATGGTGGAAGATCACTCAACTCATTATACGAAACATTGAATAGATAATGTTGATATTCTTATTTTGTTCAATTCAAAGGAATGAATAGACATTTTTACGTGGTAAAAATACAATTTTCCATTTGAAGAATTACATACAGACTGGGAGATTACATAATTTCAAACATTTTATCAAAAACTATATATACTTTCCCGATTTCATTTTACTGCCCGAAATGACAGATGTCGATAATTTGCGTTGGAATATTTGAAATCATGGCATCGTTCGGAAAAATGAAGTGTTGCCGGTGAATTTTTTTTTGTTCATTCAAGTGTTACCGAACAGAACCACGGTGGGCCTGAATGTAATGCATAGGTAAACGACATGGCACTTTGACTGTCCCTCGGGCGTACAACGCCCATTCTGAACCGCATCAAGAAAAAAAAATTCGCAAAAGTGAATCATGAGTTCTGAATACGCAAAAGTGAACCATGAACCTCCTATGCTGCCCATGTAAATTCATGTTTCACTTTTGCGTATTCAGAACTCATGATTCATTTTTGCGAATTTTTTTTCTTGATGCGTTTCAGAATGTTTATGCCTGTATTGCCATTTTCATTCTCACAGCCTCAATTTTGACATCATTCCCCTGGGTAAAGTCTTAACAGAAACAACATCCAAATTGAAAACAATTGAAAGAAAATAAATGTTAAACTCAATTTGTTATACTTTGCAAAGATTGTAACTACTTTATTGAAATGAATTGAAATTTTAAGAAAAGAATATTCAAAAGAGTAATTGAATTGGAAGATAAGAGTTGGTCCACTTTATTTCGGCTGTTTAGTGATTTTCAACGTAGAAAAGGAAATGAGCGTCGATTGGATGATCGTCAGCTGTCACTTTAAGAGTCAATTGATGGTCTCCAAACTGTCCTTTGATAAATTCAACTTTTGTGTGTTGATGGTAGTCTAAGAGTTTTACGCCCACAATTGGATATTCAGATTGTCCCTAAATCGGAAATTTCATTTACGAATTATTTGTGTTCAGAAAATGTAAACAGAATTCAAGTTGAAACGTTTTTTTTTTAAATGAAAGAAAAAATCAATACTTTTCCTTACACATTTTGTATGCAAATGAAAAATATTAAATTCTGATTTTATTTCGATCTTACGTGAAACGGATAGGTGAATTCGTAGACGGTGTGTTTATTGTCAGGCATCGCCATCTTAACATAGTGTGAGCCCAACTCATGACCATGAACGTTGCCCCAAACTTGCACATGGTGTTGATGATCTTCAGTTGGAAGTGTGCTGATGAGGCTCAAGCACGACAATAGCAAGCAAACTGCGAATTTCATCTTGACTTTTTTTGGTTTTGGTTTTGGTTTTGAATAGTTGAACTGTTGATTCGAACTGATTTACAGATGAATTGCAAAGGGTTTTTATAGGGACAAAATCAGTGGGAATCCATTATCTAATCGATTGAGACGGTTCTTTATTTTTAGAAATTATTTGCATCATTTCGAAAATAATAAATAAAACGGTCAAAATATCATTTTTCAAGTGGCAATACACACCACAAAACAATTGCAATCACTTGAAGTGGTCGTTTTTAGCATTTTTTCGTCAATGTGCAATTAGTGCATTCACAGTACACACCTGATTCGTGTATTTACGAATATGACAAGATAACTTTGAACACCAGACTCAAAATTGAGTGAATGTCACGCTTAATTTCAATCAAAACAAGCTGATCAATACATTTTTACACAAAGTTGCATGTGTTTTGAATTCAAGCTTAACCTTTTCGAATTTTTATTTTGTTTTTAGTTTTTTTTTTAAATGCAAAATGTTGCAACTGTTGAAAATAAACTTATCTTTTAATTGGAATCAATTGAAGAAAAGTGACGTCAATTGAATATCACCTTGAAAGTCGATCGATGTTCAAAAATATTATTATCATATTATAAGATCATGCAAAATGTTGATATTCAAACAGAAAAACACTCATTCATTACCATTCAGAAGATAATGGCGGTTACTGTTAGGAAAAACGGTAAAGATTGCGGAGGTGAAAAAGAACAAAATAAAGGTGAAATTGAAGAAATTGTGTCTTGACACTAGGACCTGGAGGAGGTCAAATGATTTTGCACGATTAATACGAAATTTTGAATGAAATAAAATTGAACCTTGCTTTTTTGTTTCATCAATGGAAAATCAAATGTCAATCGAAATAAAGAATTTATCATTCCGTTTCATCAGTCCATTTCTTCAGATTTTTTACGCGTATAAATGTCAGAAACAATCAAATTTCGTCACAAATTCATTCCATCACAGTCCAACCCAGACGAAACATGAATTTTGTAAGGTCAAATTGAATCGTCTAGACGAGAGATGTTGAATAAATATTTTTCGGCCAAGTCAGTTGATTGATTACAACAAGTATATTTACAGCACGTATATTCTTGGCAGAAGAAAAGTTTGTGTATTTTTAGTACCACAAAAACACAGTCTGCGATAAAACATATCGAGGTTATATAAGTGACTGGATTCGAGATGACGAGTTCATTTGTTAAATGTCTATGTTGAAATGGTCTATTGCAGATTTTGCGATACAATAAAAAAAAAATTTTATCGTGGGACCAGGCAAGAGGTTTGAAAGAAATGCATCGAATGTAGCGAATACATTCGCAGTAGACCATTGAAATTAATGAGTTGAGCTGATTTTTGATTTAGCTGACAATCTAATCGCTCAATCTGCGATAGTAATGAAGTTAAAAATGCCTGGGTGAGCAAATTGAAAAAAAAAATGCAAAACCAAATCAGCAGAAAATTCGAAACACTCAAAGACCACTCTAAGCGAGAATGCATATTGCATGTACTCTGAAAGGATTTTTCAGAATGATGTCATTCAATATGTCCTCTATTGTCTAGTGGTTAGGATATCTCGCTCTCACCGAGAAGGCCCGGGTTCAATTCCCGGTAGGGGAATTTCATTTTTTCACTTTTTTCAAACGTTACTTCGTTTAAACTGAACGCTTTATTTTTTTCTCTTAATTTTTGGATAAGCGTTGGATTTTTATGCAAAAAAAACGAGTTTGACGGTGAAACGAAAAGAAAAATGCGGAGAATTTGTTCCATTTTCGATCGAAACAATAAAATCTGCTAATGATTTTAGCGAATTCAATGTATCTACTATTTGCCAACGTGACGCTGATTACAAAATGTTCATTTCCAATTTTTTTTTTCTCTTCTATTGAAAAAAGAAGAAGCAAAATTTCCCATTTTCTCCAAACAATTCCATATTTATTAAAAAAAGAAATTAAATTCTCCTCTTCAAAATGTGGCCGATGTAGTTGTCTTTGAAATCTCTCAGTTCATATCGACTCTTTGCTTTTTTAATTGTGTTGGAAAACTTTCTATGCGCAACAGATTCAGTTGATTGTTGGTTTTTACAAACTGATCTCGATCGTTTTAGCTTCTATTCGAGCATTGAAGAAATTCAATTGAAAATCCACACATTGATTTGTGGATTCGGTTTGAACATTGTTTCAATGTCAATTTCAGTCAGATCGTTCAAACTGGTGAATACAATTTAAATGTGTAGCAAATGTGGATACTTGAAATTCACAGAAGATTTGTTGGCAATCTTGATGTTTTCCAAAATTGAGCGACGCGTTTTTGGAAATATTTCGTTCAATTCCAATGACGTGCTGACAATATTGTCAAATTTTCCATTTAAATAAACATCTCCAACATTCTTGAATAATTGTTGAACTTCGGTTAAAAGATTTTTTCTATTAGCCCCTAAATGAAGCTCCTGCAAAATATGCGACGTATACTCAATGACGTGGGAGATAATTTTTATTGCTTTCACCCGAAATACCTTAAAATTTTCAATAGAAAATCTAAGTCATGAATTTCTACGGTGTTTTCATTATCGAATACAGCCTGAGTCGGTTTGATGGAATTCAAACAATTTTCTTTCGAAATTTTCGTCAGCAATCATATTCTACAGCAATCTAACCAATCATCAGCAACATTTCAATAAAGCATGCCCGAAGTATCACTTCAGTCGATTTTATTCAGCACACACGTTATATTCTAGAGACAAAAAAAATATTCAAGAAAAACTGAGTTAAAAATAGAAAAAAAAACAAAAACTGTTTGGCCACGGTGTGCTATAAAGAAGTGAAAAAAAGTAAAAAAAAACGAAATTCCCCTACCGGGAATTGAACCCGGGCCTTCTCGGTGAGAGCGAGATATCCTAACCACTAGACAATAGAGGACATACATTTTCATATGATGACACTTAACAAACCATCCTGCTGCACAATTGCATGACATCATTCTGACATATTTTTCAGAGGATATATACAATACATTCTCGCTCATATATTCAAAAGTCACTGGGCTTCGAAAAGTCATATATTTTTCTGCTGATTTGGTCTTTCTTTTCAATTAGCTCACACACGATGACCTTAAGTTCATCTATGATTTCGATTGCAGATCGGATGAAAAAGTGCATTCTACTTCTGTAAACATGTTTCAAAGACACTTGATCAAATATTTTTTCATACCATACCAGAGCAATGCGAACAGAGAGTCAGATTCATACTCCAAATTCATGAGCAAGATTTAGATGAAATTGACATTGCAAAAATCAAAATCCATGCGTTAATTTCAATCAATCCAAGTTAATGCTGACCAACATAAATTCCTACTTCTGGCATTTTACTTTAACTCTCATTTTAAACTATTCATTCGATGCAACTTACGATGCATTATATTGCGCAAATTCATTTTAAATTTATATAAAGAACGGTATAGACAGTGTGTTTTAGGCAACTTTTGCACAGAAACAAGCAACAGTACAGAATATTGCGAATGTTGTTTGTCTTATAAAATCATAACTCCTCTATGGTCTAGTGGCTAGGATATCTCGCTTTCACCGAGAAGGCCCGGGTTCGATTCCCGGTAGGGGAAAATATTTTTTTTTTCTCATTTTATTTCCCTCTTATGAAGGAATAAATTATTTTTTTGCTGATTTTTTCTGCATAAAATACGATAAAATTCAAGACAAAACTGTCAAAAAAATATACTTTCTTCTTCTGAATCGACCACATTTTCATAAGCGTTCAAAGAGAAAAATCCCAAGAATAACGGAAATAATTGAAGGCTCTTCATGGCTTAATTTTTTTTCTCTGCAATGGATACGGTACAGTTACATAGAATAAGACCGATTATATTCTACAGAATTAATGTTCTTAATTCAGAATTTTGCAGTTTATACGATTTCTATTTGCTGTTAGTCAAGGAATGTAATCAAATTTGACTAGATTAAAGTTTTTCTATTACATTGTATTTCGAGTTGATTAAAACGAAGAAATAAAAACCACGTGGGGTTTAACTTTGATCTGATAAAGAAAACATTTCATTTGAAATGTTTCAAGTTGATGATTGTCATGATTGAAAAATCATTTCACGCATCAAGAAGAACGAGTAAAGGTAGAGTACTTAAAAATAGCCATTTTTTGTATGTAGAACAGTGAAAATGTAAAAAAAAGAGAAGCTTTACTTTTGTCTTTTTTTCAATTGCCTAACAGCAGGTGTTTTCATGAAAATACGTTTTATTCTTTGACTTGGAAAAACTTTCAAATTATAGCACTTTCCGAAGACAAGGTTAAGTCAACTCAACAAAAACTACAGTTCATTCGATGCGTTTAAATGATTGCAATTATTTTATTGTTTATTAAATTTTTGTCAAACGTTTATATAGCAAGTACCTTATTTGCGGTGAGTAAGTAATTTTGAGTTTTGATATGATATACAAAATAAGTAAGCATAAGAAAATCAACAGACCAGGGTTGTTCCACACAAAAATTGTATGTGGGAAAACGTTTTCTCTTTATTTCAGCCACTCAATTTTCCTTCGGTTCTCCATCGTAGAATAGGAACCATGAAACAATATTATGTCCTTTTGATGTCAAATTGAGTGTCATTTGATGATCACCAAAGTATCCCTTCGTAAATTCGGCTTTTGTATCATGTTCTTAGTCAATGTGCTTCAGTCCATCAATTGGATATTTCGATGGCGTCTTGAATGATAGTTGAATTGGATTATCTCAAAATGGAAAATATAGAAATGAACAACCGATTTTCCTTTTAAAAATAAATCGACTGGCCCAACACCTATGAATAGTTTTTCAAAATGTAAATTGAAACTCAATTGATCGATTTTCATTTTACATTGAAATTAGTGCAAAAATGTTGCTACATTTTTAATGTGATTTCATTCAATAGTTTACGACAAAAAGATCACCTAGTGATACAGTTAAAAACAATGTCGATTGGAACCACTTGAACATGTCAAAACAATTCTTATAAACACCAAACTCGATCGATTTATTGAAGACAATCGAAATAGACATTTTTAGCTATTAAATTAGAACACAGCTTCAAACTCGAATTAGAACTAGTTTTGCAGTTCAATTCGTTTCGATAAGTTAAATCAATTGAATTTCAAAGTTTCATCGTACATTTAAAAAATCCTTTTGACACGGAAATAAAAGGCTAAAAATAAATGCCTCAACTCGAACTACTTTTCGAGAGATATTTTTATCTACTTTTTCTTTTGATTTTTTTCTCTCGAAATTCGATGAATTGAGCCGCACAAATGACATTTCATTTTATGAAAAGTTGAAAAGTTTTCAAGGTCTTATGATCAAAATTCAACCATCGAATCACTGAAATATTTTGGTTCTTGACGTAAACCACTCTCGTTCTATTTTCACAAGTTTTTATCTTTCATTTGTTGAAACAATGAAACATTCCAGCTAAATTTGTTAATCAAATGGAGAAAAGAAAATTTCTATCTAAACGAATTCTCTAACAAACATTGCATCACGTTCCAATATGTTGACGTTCACTTCCAATCAAGATGTCTTGTTTCGAAATATTTGAACGAATTTCACCGATAAGATCCTATCGGAAATGATTTAATTCATCAATAATACGCAATTTATTTCATTTTCACCTTGAACGAAGACGAAGTGTGTTTGTTTCGATTTGCAGACAATTTGATTAGATAACAATGATGTCGATGGTTTGTTGAGTCTATAAAAGTGTATTTCTATTTAGTGTTAAAAGGCAACTTGAGTTCTGATCCAAAATCAAACTACACATTCGGAAATAAGTTGACTCGGTGAGAATGAAGTTTTCAATTTGTCTGCTTCTGTGTTGCTTGTGCGGTATCAATGCGTCTCTACGCAAAGATGAGACAAATTACGGGAATTTTGAGAAAGGGCTGATTTATGGCATGGAGCAAGTTCAAGTTCAAATGGCTGATACCGAATATACGACCCATGAGTTCAAATTTCCAAAGGTAATGCACTGTTAGATCCACGCATTTTTTTTTTCTTCAGACAAAATGTGTTCAGAACAAATCGAAATAAATTGTGCACAATAAAACCTGTTTTATTCCCTTCTGAAGCGTCCAAATAAAACCCGAATTATTGTTGGTGTTAAGCATATCGACTACCACCCGACGACCGAAATTGAATTTGTAGAAGGATGGATTGGTGACCATCAAATGACCATTCGTCTAACGGCCCAAAGACATTCAATTAACTCAACTTTCGTTTTCTACAGTTTACGGACCGCAATTAAAGGCATTAAACTACCATGAGAACATATTTTTGGTCAAATTCTTCTCTGTATACAATAAAATAAATTTGTTCATAAATATGGGCTTTCATTTAAATTTTGACTTTCACCCATGTCATATTTTTGTCTAGCTTATTAAATTCAATTTATTCATACTGAAGTCAGTTCAATTTAGTAGAATATTGTGCAAATGTATGATTCATATTATAACATTTTACACAAACACATTTTTTATTTCATCCATATTTTCTTTTTCTTTTTGTTGTTGTCTCGTTTTCTGATAAAGTCCATTGATTTTGGTGTCTATTCAGCAGTAAGACAGGAAAATCATTCAGAACATCGAAATTTCTTTGTTAATTCGGGAGAAATGAAGAATAACAAATGTTCAATTAACGTAATGTTCTCCTCTTGATTGTTTTTCTATCAAATTGAATTTAATTCGTGTCGTCCCATCTTACTTTCAATCTAAGCTGATTTGAAATATTTTCAAGAGAAAAGATTGGTTTATTCAAAAAATGGTTGAACGAAACAATCATTGTTCAAAATGAAAAGCCTCAAGGAATACAATTGCAAATGGATTTTCGAAGTCACAGCGACAACACTGAACCACTGTGGTTGACACTCCGAAATGAGCGTACATAATGTGTCTCTGTGTGAGTTCGTTACATAAATTTCATAATTGGTGCAGTCTATTGCTCCACATTGTCTTTTGATACCACCGTCTTCATGCGTAGCCTGCATCCGATTCCACAATTTCAAGCATTTCGGACTTTTTATTTATTCCTCGCTAAAAATCGTTTACACACCGTGTTTTTTGAATAAAGTTCTTGAAATTCAATGCCAAAACAAATAAAACACATGAATTTTGAAGTGAATCATAAACAAGCGGAATCATTGTGCAATCCTACAAAGGGCGAGTGAATTTTTGCTGTAGTAGTCTTTAACATGTGTGGATAAATTAACAAGAAATTTATTTATACCCATCAAACAAAAAATACTCATAAAAATCAACCAAAAGTATTGCTTATCAGATTTCTTTCCGAATTTTCGTTGAATATTTATACTTTTGATTCAAAAGTTCTGAAGAATATTGTTCACTTTTTTCATTTCCAGCTTCTCTTTTATTGTGCGGTATTGAACATAGCATTCTCATTATTGTGTGTTCTTGTTTTTGAACAGAATTCGATTGAAGCCATTGAGATGAGCTCACAAATCAAAAATCTAAACCAGAAAAATGAAAATGACGACGGCAACAACAACCAAAACAATCGGCAGAAGCTTGAAGCACTAGAAGAGGCTGATGAGCCAGCTTATTTTCTTTGGCCTTAGCTGCCTGTGCCATCTTCATGTTCATTTTTTGCATTATTGTTATCCGAGCCCAAAAAATCTGTGTCACAAACCGCTGCGAACAAAATTTTTGTTACAAAAAAGACAAACGAGAGAACAGAGCAAACGAGAGCTAGTGAGAAAAAGAGATCACAATGAAATGTATCCAAAATCCGAACGAATGAAACGATGGAAGTTGACGAACGCGACGCAATGACGAAAAGTCATATTAACACAACAGCAAATGTGCGTACTTGTTATCAATACATGAGAATGCTATCAACAACGCTAACGCTACTTCAAACGAGCTCGTTGTTTCAGTTAATTTTGCCATCTCTCTTTCGCCGCATCTCCCTTTCCGTCTCGCTCTCGCCGTGCCTTTTCTTCATCGATGTCTGAATACTAATTGCTTTCAACATAGATGCTAACGAGAGCCGTGAGTACTGTTTGATGCGCAATGCTTACGCTGTTCGATGTGTTGGTGAGAGAAACAGAAAACAAAATTCTACCACAGATTCGTTCACCTACACACGCGCACTCAACTCAAGCTATGCCAACGACACAATCACACGACTGAGCCCTTTGACACTGACCACCGTCACTCGGTCCCAACTGCTGATTGCTCTAGTTATAAACAAACGCGCTATTCGGTCAGCTGTGTACTTTATTTCGATGCGACACAATTTTTTTTTTATTGACATTCAATTTTTTCAACCGCAAACAAGTGCTAGTTTTCCTGAATATCCGAATTGGAGTACAATTTTCGTATTGTTTCTTTTAAAAATTGCTCGTTTTTCGTCCTAAAAAAGAACATTTTTTTGATAGAATTGAGTTTTCAATGGATTACGTTGTTTTTTGTTTGGTTTTGTACTGAGTTTTTCATGTGAATTGAGTTAAAAACTGTGAAACACGTGGTGTCACCATAATGCAATCGCTTGACAGGCAACATTGCAGCCAAACACAGGTTTGGTCGCATTTTTTGTTCATTTTTTCGCTGTAAATTGGAATATTTTCATTTTAATCACGTACAATTGAGTTTTTTTTTTCAACTTTGACCAGACATTTGATTTAATAGCATGAATTCAATTGAATAAATCTGAAATATTCAAAGAAAATACGTGAAAATATTCCATTGAGATTAAAATGTTCATCAATTGTTCAAACAGTTTTTCATTCGTTCGTTAAGAACGAAAGAAAAGAAAGAAGAATCATTGCGCCAGCGATGAATTAATCGGTTCTTATCAGACACTCAGAACTTTGTGTTCATTTGGTGATTACAGGCTAAACATGACGTTTTCTGTTGGACATGCCACAAAGATAAGCCGAATCTCTTCTGTTCAACGTGTGTGCGATCGTTTCACATTTCGGCATCATGTTCACATGTCAAAAAAATGATAGCGACAGATAAAAGTGGCTGGCGATGCCTAGAGTGTATCGAGGTGGAGAAAGACGTCTTCCAAATGAAAACCAAGTGAGTGAATCGAATTGGATTGGAATTTCAGTTTGTTCCAACGATTTTTCAATTTTGAAACTTTTGACTTGATTTCGATGATTCATCAACATGTTATCGTCAATGACATTCTGTGCATTGCAAGTCAAGTTTGGTATCATGATTGTGATGATGAAGATTCTCTGCACGAAAGAGATGAAAAAACATCAAATTAGAACCAAATCCGAAAACTTTCTAGTGAAAATTCATTACATACATTGAGTGACAGTCCATTCTTCTAACCAATCACTTGAATTTGTTCTTTGTTTTGGAGAAAAAAAAAACTCTGTCTTCAACATCATGTGAACCAAATCAAACATCTTGTTTCATCATTCTAATCCAAATAATGGAAATAATCCAGATTTTTGGTGTTTTTGCAGTAAAATGGAGACGGGATACTTGAACGAGCTGTTGAATTATATTTCCAAATTGCTTCAAGCGGATCAATATGTAAGTCAATCAACTCATTTCCAAAGAATGGTTCTTTTTTGCCACTTTTCGTGACAATTCCAATAAACTGAATCAAACAATGTCATTGAATTTGTTCTTTGACTTTGGCCAAATGGGCATATTTCAGTTGGCCGACCGATTTCTCGATGTTGAATATGGAAACAAAAGAGGACCAGTGTGCAATCCATTGGATCTGACTAGAGTCGGAGAAAAGACGGAATATGCCGAATACACTTGCATTGAGGACTTTTGGTCTGATATCAAGTGGATCGTGCATAATACGAAAGTTCATCGATCAGGTGAGGGGATAGAACTCAGTGGAAAAGAACAACCAGACACTGCAAACAAAAAGTTTGAATTTGGCATGGTTTTATATCTCCCAATTTGATTTTTCTCTTCAATTGTCTTTCTTCCAGGTGACAAATACGCCATTGAAGGTCTGAAGTGGTTGACAAAGTTCACAAAGAATGAAATTTACACCATTCGATTGTGTCACGAGTGCTATCGAAATGCCAATCAAAACCCAAAAGATTGGTTCACGAAGCCATGCGCAAAGCCGCACATTCTGGTTTGGGTCCAGCAAAAGGGTTATCCATACTATCCCGCAAAGTTGATGGCAGTAAACAACGACAAGCACACGGTTGATGTGCAGTTTTTTGGCCAACATGAACGAATGGTTTTGAAGCCCGAAGACTCAGCCTGTCATATCTATTCGGAAAAATGTCCCAGTTCGAGTATTGGTTCATCGAAATATGATTGGGAAAAGGCGGTTAATGTAAGCGATTTGATGAAGAAAAAAAGTGAAATCCGTGGGATAATTGAATTTCTTTGTGTCGAAACAGGAGGCTCGAGTCTATATTCAAAATCTCGTCGAGATGTTTGGATCGTTTCACTACGCTGCACCGAATACGATACTGAATAAAGACAAATTGGATCGCCATCTGTATGAAATGATACCAAAGGCATTGAAAATGGTAGGAATCACCGAGATACCATCGCCAATACCAAAGACAGCCACCGCTGCCCGCCGAATGACAATAGCTTCAATCTTTGCTGATGGGGCACCTCGACGAAAGTCGATTTCTGTAAGACGACGAAAATCGGTTGCATTTGATGCAAATCAAGTTGAGCTTGATTGCGACCCAGATTTCATACCAACGGGCCAAAAACGAAAGTTGGATATTCTGCACGACCTTGAACCGTTGCCGTTGGCAAAAAAGCAACGAGTTGAAGACTCATCGAACAGCATCGGTACAAGAGTGGAAAATGGCCAAAGCAATGAAGTGCCAACATCGGTAGGTGCAGCCAGTATTCCGTCTGTACGGATCCATGGATCACATGTACCAGCTTCTGTTCTACCGGTTCGTGCGCGAAAGACATTCCCCAATTCCACGTTGCGTACATTCAATCCATCGAATTCAGAATTTTCACATCGACCGATCAACGAAGCTTCATCGTCGGCAACCGCTGTACTACTCAAAGAAGAGCAAGAGTCACTAAGTGATCAGAACTCGATGGACAATTTGATTCTACATTACAGTGACAGCGATGAAGTGGTGTCACCTCAATCGAAGTGCAAACAAGAAGAAATGGTCGCTCTATGCAATGCCCTGTCTGGAACGAATGCACCACAAATGACTGAATGCATTCGTTCATCGCTAGAAACAACATTGGTTGACTTGACAGCCACCACCGATGCAGCCAAACAGATTCAGTTGCTGCAGAATGAGCTGGAAAAGCAACGAATCGAGAATGATATTCTCGGTAACAAGAATAACCAACTCACAAAGCAAAACGGTGATTTGATTCAGGAGCTGGTCAATGTCAATCAAAAATTGGATGTGATGACGAAGAGAAATGCGGAATTGGTCACCGTTAACAAAGTATTAACGCAGTCGACGGAAAAATTCAAAGTGGAAATCGGACAATTGGGTGATCGAATCAAAGGCGAATGCAAAGTAGAACAAGCTAAATTAATTGCTGAAACGAAACAGACAAAGTGGTGCGCTGCATGCGGTTTACCATGTGGACGGTACTACTGTAGTTTCGCATGCGAAGAACATGCTCGGTTAGTTGATTTTCATTTTCTTTGTATGACAAATTGTGACCTCTTGTGAGATCTGATAGAAATTGGAGGCACGGTCTATTTGTACGATAAAAATCGTACAAAATTTATGTTTAGCCTCACAGGCTATTCGTACGGTGAATTTCAGAATTTCGTACGAATAGATATAGAGCCTAAACGTACAGATCGTACGAATAATTTTTCTCCGTATGTTTAGTCTCCATGTCTATTCATACGAAATTCTTAAATCCATCCGTATAAACGAAAAAAATGATTCTGTTTCGAAAAATGGTAGCAATAAACAAAAAAACAACAACAACAAACCAATTTGATTACTCATTTTCGGTGAATTGTGTTTGGGCTGCAAATCATGATTGAAATCAAACTGATTGATTGTACTGTCTTCAAGTGCAAAA